CCTCCCCCCTCTTTCTCACTCTCTCTCTTTCGCTCGCTCGCTCGTTCCCTGTCTATCTCTCTCGGGCCGAGCCGAAATTCTTACCTCGACGGCAGCCTGCCGCGAACGGAAGTTCGATCGCGATCGCGCCCGGCCACTTTCGTGCGGAGACCCTCGTGTCGGAAGTGCGTTACCTTCGTCCTGTTCATACCCGCCGCGGACGCCGCGGGAGAACACTTTTGTCTATCGAGGCTTGGGGCGAAATTACGCCTCGCTCTGTCTCGTCTAGGCATCTAGGTCCAGCCGTAGACTTGACCTCTTTGCGGAGAGACATTGATGTGCCTATTGACTGTGTCAGGTGTGCGCTATTATCTGTGTGATAGGATCACGCCTTATCTTCGAGTCTGACTTATTACGAATCTAATACGAGTAGAGTGCACTCCAGAATTACTCCACTCCACTTGTTCGTGACTTAAAGATGCGTCTCTCAAGTGATTAATCGACGGAGAATCGTTAGAAACGTTAGCCGAGATCAGCGGAGACTTTGTGGAACTCTTGTTTCTTCTCGCACAAGGAAACTTTGCGAAATTCTGACTTTAATGCAACCTTCCATGCACGCAAACAGATGACTTTAGAAATTATCAGTTGATGCCGAAAACTAGTTTTTGGAGAATGCAAGAGATATGTTGATGGAAATAATAATTTCGCCGAAATATATTATTGGCGCAATTAGATAGAGGTGTTTTTATCATAGAAATTTTATACGAAATATACTTTGATATCTTGAATAATTTACGAGATGTATACGCTATATGTAGAAGAGGCAGTTTCATCCCTTAAAATCCTAGAATAAAATTTCTCTATTTGATCTATGTGTATACAAAGTCGCATTAAAATTAAAATTCCCGGATATCTAGCTACTCTTATATATCGAGCTTGGTTATGTAACGAATTCTCATCGCCGAACACGTCGCCGAATGGGATACTCTCGTCGTAGGATATCTCTTTAAGAAGCGGCAGACATTTTTCGACGGTCGGACGCGCCGCGACAAAGCAAGTTACGGCGCGCGTGGCGTCGCACGTGCGACGAAGGTCACTCGATTTTTCCACCATTGCCGGCCGGACGACTCATTGGCTAACTTTTTTCGCGCGACGGTCCACCCTCGTCGCACGCGCGCTGGAAGAGCAACTCGGATAGGGTGGACACGACGGGGCAGGTTGGGGGTACGCGAGACGACCGGACGCGCCACAACGCTACGCTCTTTTCTTCGTTGCTTTTCTTGCCACCGTTCCGTTCCGTCGACCGGAAGACCGAGAGAGACAGAAAGGGCGAAAGGGTGAACGCGCGTCTCTCGGACAACCGGAGAGAACGGGACTCTCCCTCGCGCATGAATCGCCGTGGACACGGCGAGGGGTAGGGCGAAAGAAAGAAAGAAAAAAAAAGGGGTCGCGCCTCCCCACCCCCGCCGGACTCATACTTCCACGTGTACACCACGTGGAAAAAAGGACGAGGCCAGCGTAAAAAAGCGGGCGCGTGGGGGTTGCCAAGCTAGTGGGGATTGCGAGTCGCGGCGGTCGGGAACGGAAGGGAAAGAAGGGAGAGAAAAGGACGCGGGAAAGGGTGCACGCGGGGTAGTAGCCGTATGCGATGCTCAGCGAGGCTAACAGACGGTGGGAGAGAGACAGACGAAGGAGCGAGAACGGAGGGGAAAGACGTTCGCCAGAGAAGGGAGAAATAGGAGCCTAATGCGATGGTGGGGTAGCTACGTTAGATGAGAGAGCTCGGCAGAGCGGCAGGACGGCAGGGGTGGAGGTGGCGTAGGAGGAGGAGGGGGAAGATGGGAAGGAAGGAAGGAAGGGGTGGCTCGGTTGTCTACTTCGTAGCGAGGAGGGTGCGTAAGACGAGAGCGGGATGACCATCGACCATCCTTCGCCGTGAAATGAGCATCGGAGCGCGTCCAACGGGAAAGTCGACGTCCTCCGTCGCGAGGTCGATGATCCATGTTTAAATCGCGATTTGACTTTCAAAATGCCAAGGGTGGTGGAGATGATGACGGATGGCGCGAGCCGGGTGACGCCGCGACACACTGCACTTTCGTCGGTACTTTCGCCGATGAGTTCCGCGCGCGCGCGCGCGCGCGAGTCTCGACTGCGATCGGCTGTCTAATTGGCGACAGAGTAGCCCAACTTGATCGCGCGAACTTGGCAGCCACGTCGGAATATCGAACCCCGTATCCTACCGCTCGTAATAAAGTCGGCCGTGCGATCCGTCGAGAGGGATAAAAAAGAAAGCCTGCCCCACACTCACTCCCCCACGACGGCATGGTTAGTCACGCGTGCGTTGCCATACGGGACACGAGGGAGGAGGCCATTTTTATACGACGGTCCCCCTTCTTTTTATTCGTACCTCAGACTGTTACACCCCCTTACACACAGAGGAACCCCACGATTTTTCGGTCAGTCGAATAAACCGATTCGTGGCGTTCGCACGTCTCTACTGCGGAAGATTCTTGCGCGTCACGCCGTTGACGAACGAGTGAGAGAAAGGGAGAGGGTGAGGAAAGGGAAATCTTTGTGCCACGGGAGAAGAGAGAGAGAGAGAGAGAGAGAGAGAGAGAGAGAGAGAGAGAGAGAGAGGAGAGTCCGAGTGAGTTGACGCGCCGGAGATGATCCGTGACTTATATACGGGCGAGAAGTTTTCAAGGACGAGCTCTTGGCAAAAAGACTCCGCGGTGCGAGTCGCTCGTACCGCGGTACTTACGTGCGCCGGAACGTAACCGCGAAGTATAAGATTGCGATCGCGATAGACAGGGACAGATAATCGGTTCTTACGAGGGTCCTCTTTCTCCCTTCCTCCCTCTCTCCCTCCCTCCCATCCTGCTTCTATCTCTCGCGCGCTCGCTCCGTCGCTCGCTTGCTCTCTTTCTCCTTTCCTCCCCCCTCGAGGAGGGTTTTCTTGGCCGGGTGAAACGGAGACGGAGCGCAACCCCACTCTCTTTCTCACCCCTTACGACGCTTACCCCCGTACGAGGCGTCGGCGGCGGAGAATCCCCCACCCACCCACCTGGCTGCGGGGTGAAGGGAAAGGAGAGTTTGAGGAAAAGGGGGAGATAGAGCGCGCGCCTCGGCGTCCTGCTTGGTGGGGGCAAAGGAAAAGAGGGGTAGCTTGAAAACTCCTGTCCTACGACGGCTTCAGTTTTTCGTCCTGCCGGAGGTAGATTTTCGTCGTGGGAGGACGCGGCAGGGGTCACGAGTCGGTCCACGGCAACCTGGGCCTACGCCCAGGCCCGTCGGACCCGCGTACGACGTAGTCGCGGTAAGAAAGGGTCGAAGGCGAAGGCGCTCCGAGGTGGCCAGAAATTTCGCGGCCGCGCACCACCTAAGACAACGCCCCTACCCGAACACGCGTTCTTTAAGGCACGAGGGGGTGGCTTTTAGTCAGACGCACGCGGTCTGAGAAGCGCGCCACCACCGGCCCCCGACGGAGAAGGACTTAGCGTTTCTCGCGAGCCGCAGACCCGAGTCAGTTTCGGTTCCTCCTCCGTCAAGGACTCGAACGCGGAAGAGGAGAGAGCTTTTTCCCCGTCGTCGTATACGTCGTCGTCGTCGTCGTCTTCGTCGTCGTCGTCGTCGTCGTCGTCGTCGTCGTCGTCGTCGTCGTTGTCGTTACCGTCGTCGTCCTTCGAAGAGGAACAACAGTGTCTTGGCCGATACCGTGCACGAAGGTCGCGATACAGAGAGAGAAACAGAGAGAAAGACAGAGGAACAGATAAAGAGAAAGAGAGCAAGACAGAAAGAGATAGCACCTGGAGAGCGAGGTGCGACGATCGTTTTACGCGTACCGACCATCGCCAAACTTATCGTCATCTCTGGCCACTCGTCGCCCGCAACTCGGATCTCTCCAGTAAGGGATCCACCGGATTCTTTTCTCCACACCGTACCGTATATCTTATTGTGCCAATCGAGTGTGAACGTGCGCGAGAGGAGAACACGGAGTAGCTTCGCGCCAGCCAGGATCGCCGATTTGCGCGTAGGCCACGGTCGGCGATCGTCGCGCGTGCCTCTTCTTCTTCTTCTTCTTCTTTCGCATGATTTTACCGAGTTTTCCCCACTTTCGGCCAAGACCACCACACTGACCCACCCCCTTCTCCAGCCCTGCTTCCGAATCCTGACATGCCCGGTACGTCATCGTCGCTACAGTGTTTCGTCGCGATCGCACACGCTTCGATCTCGCCGCGATCTCGTCTCGGGGGTGATACGATGTGCTTCGGTAAGGGCGCGAGGAGGACGTGGTGAGGCGCGTCGCGTTCAAGCGACGGAAACGGGATCGGGAAGCGCGACCGTACGATCCGCCGGTCGCCGGGAGAGTGAAAAAGAACGAGACAGCTCGTCGAAATCCGCGAGGCACGACGCTCCCGCGAACGCTCGTCGTCCTGATGGCCCGTGAAATCGCGGAATCACGCGTCCGACGATCAACGCAACGAGAAACGCTGCACGCCCGATATAAACGAGTCGACGATCACGCGAATATCAGTGCGCGACCGACCGATTCCAGATCACCAGTCCAGGTGGACAGACGACACTCCGCCTGTCACGTCGCGCGGATCCTGGCGCAACAAATTATTTGTCGTTTCGTCGACATCGCGCCGTGCAATCTCACCCCTCGGTGTGCTGCGCGAAAAATTCGCGCGCGTCGGCGGGCAATTCGCGATCCTCGGGCTCGGAGCGAAGATACGTTTTCTCGTTGCGCCAGAGAGAAAGATTCCGACCATCGCGAGAAACGACGGCGAGAGTAATCGCGCACGCAATTCCGTGTCCTGCGAACCGGAGTGTCACAGTGAGACGTGACATCGGTCATTCGCAATTGGTGTTTGCTTCGACGCGAAATCGCGTAGCCGAGAGAATGTTCAGTGCTGCGGGTATTCGTCTTTGGCTCGTTTGGCTCGCACTCCGACATTTGTTATGTTCGTTGCGACGTTTAGCTTTAATTGCGAGTAAACCTCTTCTCACCTGTCAACGCATTCCCTCTTTCAGTCGAGCCCCATCGGGTTCCTCACACCGACCCGGCGTTTCCCGGCGTCTTATTGTCCGTCGAGTGACGAGACGCACCGCGTGCGACGGCAAGAGACGTTCTCGCGAGCCCACCGATCGCACCGTGCGAAACGCGAAACCGGCCGAAAAATTCTGCGACGAGGCGGCAGCCGACGGGACACCGCGGAGTAGAGGAGAGAAGAGGGCTTGAATTTACGTGTGTTACGTTAAATCATCGTCGCGAGATCTGGATGTGTCAAATGGACGAGATTCAGCGTGTCGCGTAATTAGTGCGTGCTCCTGACAGTGTTGGTTGAAACTGTTGTTTGTGTCGCAGGCCGGAAGTGTAATACTTCATTGCGAAACGCCACTTGGAAGAAGAGTCCCGTCGCGTGCCGCAAGCTCGCAGAATCTCCGGTCTGATGTCTCTCCGATATCACGGAATTTTATTAGGACCCTTCTAATGCGATTCGCATCGCGTTATTCGACACTCGATATTTTCGCGCAGCGGCAACCGTTTTTAGAAAGTGTCATCTTGCAAAAATCAATATTTTAAACGACGTTGTCCACACTGAGTCGGCATAGATACGCGTTGAGTTCTTCGAGATCGAATCGAGTCGCGGTGGAATCAGTCGGGAAGACATCTCGGAGTCATCGGTGCGTGTAAACCGACATGTCGCGAATGTTTTCCCAATCGCGAGAAATGCGAAAAACGTGTGAAGCAGTTGCCTATGACGTCAAAAGATAGAGCAGTAGTCGTACTTACATGTCGTATGCTTGTCGCGTGTGACTGCGAGTAACGCAAAAATGTATGTGTTTTTTTTCTGAATTGCAGCTTCGAGCGGGAGACGCGTTGCAGCGAGAGATTCCCGCGCAGGAGAGGAAGACTGGACAAAGCGGAAGAAGCAGAATAAGACGAGCAAAGCAGAAGCGGAGCAGCAGAAGAGCGAAAGAAGACCGAGAGCCGAACGAGTAAAAGCGGGGTTGCGAAGAAGAAAGTGATCAGCGAGTTGATCGTGCGAATCCGAAAATAGCGAGGTGATAGAGGACGGAAAGATCGGGAGCAGCTACGGAAGCGCAGGAGAGAAAGAGCAAAGATCGAGAGATAGAGACGGAGAGGAAAATAGAGAGATAGATAGAGAGAAAGAGAGAGAGAGAGAGAGAGAGAGAAGGAGATAAAGAGACAGAGGAAGAGAGAAAGAGTGAGAGATAGAGAAAACGAAGCAAGAATCGGAAAAAAGCTCGACAGAGAACCCCGCGCTGCATACATATATATTTCAGTGTGTTCAAAAAACGAGTGTACCTAAGTGCAATATTAATTAAACGATAATAAGAAGCAACCACAATTACCATCGACGATATCGGTAACGACGAGCGGTGATCGATAATCGAATAGAATTCCTTTTAAAGAGTTAAAACGCTAGAGTCGCATTTCGAGGAGGAGTCATCGACGGACGCGACAGCCGCTTCGGAGGAGAGACGGTCGGCGTAAAGCAGAGGCGGAAGCCGAGGAAAACGGAGTGACGGAAATCCCGGAGAGGAACGCTCTCGTCCCGCTTAAAAGAATTCACACGGACTCACCGACAGGCGAGCAACGCGCGCGACAGCGGACACACTTTTTCGAAGGCTGGGCGCGCGCGATATCTCGCACACGCACACATACGCACACACACACACACAACATCGCACGCACATCCAACATAACGGGGCTAAAATACTCAGGGCAAAACGGGACGAGCGGTAATCATCCGCGAGTGTGATTTCTCACCCCGAAGAAGACGAAGAGGAAGAAGAGAGCGGAAGCCTCACCCGACCGGTATCTGATTCGCGTCCGCGTGGACTATCCTTCTCGTTTACACCGTCCGGGCTGGGCAATCCTGAATTTTAACCTGAACTTAAGTGTACGCTAGAGTTTAAGTTAGATAGACGAAGGAAATAGGCCGTTCTCCCATTCGTTGGAGAACGTTCGCTCGCGCGCGCAGCAACTCACGCAAAACACACGCGTAAAACACACACACAACACACACACACACTCATACACACACACACTCACACACACGTGACACACAGAGGAGGGGGAGAAGAAGTAGCAGTAGCAGCAGAAGAAAGAAGAGAAGAAGCAGTAGGAGAGGAAGAAGAGAGATCACGCGGCCGAACCGCGAAAACGCGAACGAACCGCGCACGCATGCGGCACGACCTGCGTGCGTAAAGCCATATCTCACGACAAAGGACGCATTACGGATCTATCGACGGCGATCGTAGGTGCGCTCGCGAGAGACACCGCGAACGACGGAGACAGCCACGACGTAGAGGAGGAGAAGAAGAATAAGAAGAAGAGGACAAAGCGAGCTGAGAGAGGGAGAGATCTGGGAGAGGACCCGGAAGAGGGAGTGGAGGAATCATAAGAGGAACTTTCATGAGACAGGCGGTAGGTAGCAGTGCCGGGAAGTCGCAGCAGGTGGCGAGTAACTGACGTTGCCCGCCGCCCACGTCGAAGCTCGGCAGCGCGAGGATCGTTATCGTTACGACGATCCCGAGCTGAAAAGCAGCGACCGAGCGAGACGAAAGATAGGAAGTAACGGCGGCGAGCGCAGAGGTGTGCCGGCCGTCGAGCTGCTTACCGGAAGGGGTGCGAAAAAGCGGGCAAGCTGCGCCGGAAGGGGGTAGCCCGGGCTTCTCGCGAAGGCCTCAAAATTTCGGACGCGACGGCGGCCCTGGACCTGCGTGCACAGACGCAAGCCCAACCGGACTTCGGCCTAGACCACCAACAGCCGCAGCATCACCATCCGCAGCAGCAACAGCAGCAACCGCCACAGCAGCAGCAGCAACAGCAGCAGCAGCAGCAGCCGCAGCAGCAGCAACAACATCCGCAACAGCCGCAGAGTCAAAATCCAGACTCGCGTACTCACCATCACCTGCAGCAGCAGCAGCATCATCATCAGCACCACCCGGGCAATCATCTTCACTCTGGCGATTCGGGGGGTGGGATAGGAGGTGGAGGAGGCGGCGGCGGCGGAGGAGGTGGCGGCGGCGGTGGCGGTGGAGGAGGAGGAGGCGGCGGCGGCGGAAACGCCGGTGGTGTTGCTGTTGTTGCTGGCGCGGGCCCGCCAGGACCCGAGCCGGACCGCACCGCGAGAATTCACGACGACGAGGAGGAGGATATTACCGAGAGGGAGGACGAGGAGGAGGACGACGATCCGTGCAGCTCGCCAGAGCCCGACCTTGAAAACGAGTCCGAACCAATGGAGATCCAAGCGTCGGCTGTCACTGCGGCAGCCGCGAACCTCCACGCGCTACGCCAGCACGTATTCAAGATGTCGGATTACTGGCAGCAGCCGCAGCGCGGTCCACCCCAACATTCGCCGGGGATACAACACAGTCCTATCTCCAATTCGACGCAACAGCACCAGCAGGTACAGCAGTTGCACAGTCCGCTGGGTCAGCAGCAGCAACAACAGCAGCAGCAACAGCAAGCCGCGGTGTCGCAAGTGCAGCAGAACACGAACGCGAGTCTCGGCCAAACTGCGAGTCCCCAGCAGCAGATGCAGCAGCAGCAGCAGCAGCAGCAGCAACAGCAGCAGCAGCAGCAGCAGCAGCAGCAGCATGCCATGTCGATGAACCAAACGAGCCAAGGTCCGCAACATCAGTCTTCCCCAGCACCGACCACGCCGTCGCCACAGGCGGACCATCAAGGTGCCATCGCCTCCAGCATGGCACAGAGCCTGCACAGCCTCGCGCAAGCACAACAGACCATGTCGCAAGCGTCGAGCCCGTCGCTGGCGGTGCAAGCTGTTCAAGCGGCGCAAGCCCTTAATCAGAACCTTGGCCAGGCGCTGACCCAGGCGCTAACACAGAACATGCAGCAGAACCTTGGACAGACTCTGCAGCACAACCTGGCGCAGAGTCTGACGCCAAATCTATCGCCGCAACAACAACAACAGTTGCTCAATCAGCCGCAGAATCTGAGTCAAGCGAGTCAGAGCCTGCAACAGAACATCCAGAGCCAGGCGCAAAACCTCTCGCAGACGTTACAGCAGCAGGCGCAGAATCTTACGCAGAACCTCGGCCAGGCGCTCAACCAGCAGGCGCTGCAGCAACAGGCGCAGAACCTCACGCAGAATCTGCAGCAACAGGCGCAGAATCTTACACAGAACCTCGGCCAGGCGCTCAACATGGCCGGCACCATCGCGCAAAACGGCGGTCTCGCCGGTATGAACATGTCGGGCGGTCAGCAACAAAATTCTCAAAACTCAATGCTGAGCCCAGGCGCGACCAGTCAGGACTCCCACGACGCCACGCTCACGGAAAAGCTCGTCAACGAGTTGCAGGTGAGAAAAGAGACCGCGCGCGCGCGCGCGCGCAGGGTCGAGTTTAGCGTGCCGTCGTCGCCGCTACCTCCGCCTCTGTCGCTGCACACTCGCGGCTGTTTCTATCTTTGTCTTTTTTCCTATTGTTTTCCGCGCGCGTCTCTACCCGAGAGACAGAAACGCGAACGAGAGTGTCGCACTCTTTCTCTCTCGTGCACACGCGGACGCGCTCGAACATAGCCGCCAGCCACTGCGAGGAGAGCAGCGATAAATAACTAGGGCGAGGCGACCGCGATAAAAATACATAACGCACCGATAAATAGGGTCATTCACTCGGGCCGAGACAGACGTCGGACAATACTTTCGAGCGGTTTCTCCTCCTCGCGGGGAAAAATATTTATTCAACGACGCTCTCGTTCGACGCGTCGTCGTCATCCAGCCCTAAGCTGTCCGCGAGGGGGCTATCAAGGTCCCTCCTCCTACGTGCGTGGTCGCGCTCTCTCGGGCAAATTCGCGCCGGTTTGAATGCTGCGCGTCGCGAAAGTTGGCCGTTTCGCGTGCGGAAAAATCGGACGGCGATGCGGCGGAATGCGCGCGTTCGCGTTACTGGCGCGTATTCTCTCGCCGAGCGACGTACCAGATGTTGCTTCCCGGTTGCGGCTCTGCTTAAGTAACATTACTTGCAGACAACGTTTAATCGCGAAACCGTTCGGGATTCGTTGAAACGAGCGGCGGCAGCTTTTACGGTAATTTAGCGTCACCTTAGCGCGCCGCCAAGTCACATGTCATCGACAATTTCGTCGGTTTGATTCCGCGACTGTACCCAGATACGCTGACCACGCTTCGTACGCGCGTGCACGCACACAGACACGCGAGTGCACACGTGCGCACTGAGCAGGGTACGTTGACTTACCACATCGTAGTAACTTACACGCTTGTACACGCGGAAGAGAGAGAGAGAGAGAGAGAGAGAGAGAGAGAGAGAGAGAGAGTGTGTGTGTGTGTGAGTGAGCGAGCGAGTGAACGAGAGGGAGAGAGAGTGAGTGAGCAAGTGAGAGTAAGAGAGAGAGAGAGAGGGAGAGAGTGAGAGCACGCACACATCAAAGTAGCAGTGCAGTCCGCAAATGCGAACGCGGCCCACGCACACCAATGCGGGGAGATGCAGATACGTCGTCTCCCGGGGTTCTTGACCCGCGCAACACAGATAATACCATACGCATACGTCATACGGTACGCCGGGAAGATGTTACCAAGAAAATATCGCGCCGTGTTTCTGCGACGGCATGGGCCTCGGAGTCTCGATACGAGAGTAGAGTGAGATAGGGAGAAGAGTGAACGAGAGTGAGAGGTTGTGTGTGTGTGTGTGTGTGTGTGTGTGTGTGTGTGTGTGTGTGTGTGTGTGTGTGTGTGTGTGTGTGTGTGTGTGAGAGAGAGAAAGGGAGAAGAAAAATCGTATCTCCACGACAGATAATTGAACTTTGAGATCGCGTTAGCAAGTTCGAGTATTGGCAATTTGTAATTAGCGAGACTGCACAAATATTGTTCGCGAGAAAACCCGGAGGAGCAGCCTCCGTAGCTCCGAACCGCGGCGGGAACACGCCCGACATATAACTACGTCAGATTGGAAACACTGTCGTTACTACCAGGAATCGTCGTAGCAGAAATCTCGTTTTGTGTTGTAAAACGATTAACCAGCGAGCATCGATATATTAATTAGGAATTAAAAGCGACTCCCATATGATCACCTTCTGTGTCTTCGCGTAAGACAGAGCTGTAACCCGTCACTCGCTCTTCTCACGTCCGTCGACGGCGCCGACAACAGGAAAACGTACTTTTTTTTCTTTTTTTTTTTTACTTTTAATTGTTCCTTGTTTCTTTTTTGCCGTCGTATATCGTATTTCCGAAGTAGTAGAGCTTCCGACGGGAGGAGGCTTTTCGTAGTAGAGACGGTTAGTAGCGCCTAGAGGACGACGAGGAGGATCGGGAGGACTAACATGAGCTATCCTATCTTGCCTGATAGTCTCGTGCCTCTGCGGCGGGGCTTGGAGGTGCAGTAGGTGCCGGCGGTGGTGGAGGAATGGGCAACATCAGCGAACGCACCCTCGAGGAATGCTGGTCCACCCTGCAGCGAGTGAGTTGAACACTCAGCCCGTTCAAAAAGCAAATCCCCTTTTTATTATCGCTCTTCCTTGCCCGCGCGTCCTAACCCTTAAGTCTCTCTCGCTTTTACTTGTAGCCGAGCCACGACCACGGCCAATCGACCTCTCTCCCTCACTTTCTGTTGCCGCTCTTACATACATGTCGTTACGTTACGTTTTCATTCACACATCCGTCCTGCACGTCGCAGACGCGGCTGGCGTCTAATCTCGTTCATTTGGCCGTTATCATTTTCGTTGATTGATCGTTCACGCCAAGATTCGCCTTCGGCCGCGACGATTTCGCTCTCGCGCGATCTCGCTGCCGTATGTGACAGCTATTTCGCGATCGATTCGTCTCGTTTTTGCATCTCCGGCCGCTTTTGCTCTCGTTTTGTTCATCAGCCGACCTTGATGTTTTCATTTATTTTTTTATGTCTCTCTCTCTCTCTCTTTCTTTCGCTCTCTCTTCTATCCGCTGGCATGTGTCTTCTCGTGTAAGTGTATATATTGTCGTTCATTTCGAGCCTCTCGCCGGCTTGCTGAATGTGTCGCCTTGTTCGTTCCTGTGCATTGTGAAATAGTCACACTCGTACGACTGACCGCCAGCGGCGGTTCGAACGATCCTCGTTCTCTCGCGCGCGCTCCTAACGAGCGCGCCGTAGCAGCGCAGCTAGGGATTTAACACGAATGAAGAGCAACGTATGTCGCCGTGACGACCAGTGAACGAGCGAGAGCGCTCGTTCGCGTTGTCATCGCGCGAAAAGAAGTGTTGACGAGACGGCGACTTTTCGGACGACCGAGCTCTCGCGATCGACGTGTCCGATCGATTCGCGTCGAGCGAGACGATCTCTCGCGGATCTCCTCGTATATCGCGGGCCAACTTGGCTGAGACTACGACCAACTACGACGACGACAACAACGAGCCGCGCGAAAGTGGAGGAAAAGAAAGCGGCACTAACGAGCCCTGAATTACGTTAAACTGTCGCCCGACGAACGGAGCGAGCACAGAGATGGTCTCTCACGGCGCGCGCGGAGCAAAGGAGAGACAGCGCGGTAAAAAGGCGGGAGGATGCCCTCCCCCGCCGGGAAACTTTAAAATTCTCATCCCCGGAACGAAACAACAATTTGTTTCGTTAAGTAGCCGCAGCGCTCTTTTGTTTTTGCGGCTTCTTTTATTTTAGCGGCGATAGCGCCGGGCGGTCGGAGTGACGGCAGAAAAGGTAACGAGAGGTGGGCGAGAGAAAGAGAGACGACGACGAGGAGGTGGCGCGAGAGGGGCTCGGTCGGATACTCGTCCTCTCTTGCCGTGTTCCACCTCGTCCTCCACCTCGTCCACCTTTTCTTCCATCGCCACCTTAAAAGCCGTCCCGCGCCGCGCCGCGCCGCGCTCGCGCGCGAGGCGAAACTTTCGGAAAATCGCAAAAACGCAGGGCGATGGCGAAGTTTCCACGTTTCAGTGAGATTTAATTAAAACATTCGCCTCCTTTGTGCCGTCCCCACGCGCCGTTCGCGCGGACCATCGAGCTGTCGAAGCTCCGGTCGTCTTTCGCGCGTCCTGTCCGAATGACGAGAAGCGATTCGAGCGTCTTCTCAATGCGTCGATACCGAATCTTAACTTTCAACCTTTCTTTTTAACTCGCGCAATTTTCACCGATAACTTGCACTTGCTACACAGACAGAATTTTATAGCCAAAATTGCTGTGGAATTTTGTAACCGAGGGCTAGATCGACATTCTGCAAATTGACTATCCTTTCCTATGGACTATTTATATTTCAGGAAGTGAAATGCGCCATTAAAGAATTTTCTATACTTTTGGAGAAATTTACTGTTTCTTATCAAGATAGGCCTCACCGATAGTCTATTGCTGCACCACTGGAAACAGTAAAATTGAAAAGAATTTATGAAAAAAGGAACAGTATAATGTCATCACCGTGTACCGATCGTCACTCCCGACGAGTCGACAATGTGGAAATAAACGCGCGAAAATAAAACCGTATCGTCGAAATCGAGTCGGAATAGCATTCCTCGTCGAAGAAATTGTAGAAAGTCGCACGTGCCTTGATTGAAATCGGCTTCAAGTGCCAATTACGAAAAAATGTTTGAGGGTTAATTAAAAATAACACACGCGACCAAGTTCAGCCGTTGTCTCCGATGCCAGCCGGAATGAGAAAAAAGAATTTGAAACACTCGGGGATTTACTGTGAACTCGTGGGAAAGACGGAGGGTGCCGCAAAGTGGAGATGAGACGAGTGTGCGCCCCGCGATATTACATAAACATTCCGCGGAGAACGTTCTCAGGGCTCCGGGCCGGGGGTGCACCCGCGTTTTTTCTTCTCGCGCTACCGCGAAAATTAAAATCCAATTATTTCGACGCCTCTGCTCTCTGTCCCGGGTCGGCCGATTCAAATGAATTTTTTGCGCGGGCTTCACCCCAATTCGCTCTCTCAACGCGCGTGAAACCGGTTCGCTCGCTCCTTCGTTCATTTATTCGGCGCAACGACGCCGCAAAGTTGCATCCGCACGCACGATCCAGCCCTTGATCGATCCGGGACCGCGATTTCGGACCGCGCTGAGACAGCTGCCGACGGAGAAACCAGAAACGTGGCCGAGGACGGAAGAAAGGAAGGAAGGAAGGAAGGAACGAACGAGAGAAAGTGCGAAGGAAAAGTCGGGCTCGAGCTCTTTTCCAACGGATGCAAATTGTCGCGGTACAAGAAACGACAATCGTCGTCATTGTTTCGGTGTACGAAGAGACTCACACGTACATTTGATGGAGAGAGACGCACACGTCCTCGTGTCGTGCCACTCGCTAAAACGCGCTTAAAGCGCTCACGATGATCGATGAGTGGTGTGAGTAGGCCTCTCAAATTATTTTCGATCGCAACCGGATCGTTGGAAGTAGCGAGATGTAACTGAGAAAATGAATGAAACGTCGAGATCATAGGGCTGCAACGACAGCGCGCAAAGTTTTAATCGAGGAGTGAGAACACACAGCGCGCACAATGCGGCGTGATCGAACAACCGCTCCGTTCTTCCCTCTTCCCCCGTTTGTCTCTCTTTCACGTTTCGCTCCTCTTATTACGATAGAGGGAAGAAAAAAGCGAAGCGCGCGTATCATCTATTTACCGGCGCCGCGGCTCGTCTCGCTCAGGCATGCAAATCTCGAGGAGAGTCTTTCTCACGTTGCTTCCCTCGGAGGAGCGAGCGAGCGGGCGCGAGTTTTTTCACCTCCTCCCGTGTGCCCGGAAGGTTCCCGCGTGTACTATTTAAATAACGGTTCTCTCTCGAGAACGCGCGTGTGTCATTGTTTCATCGTTCCCTCTCTTTCTCTTTCGGCGAGTAACCCTTCTGGTTACCTACGAGGAAGAGGGAGTAGCGGGAAGGGAGAGTGCGGCGGGGGGGAGTTGTTCTGTTTCGAGACGAGGAAGAAAACCGAAAGGGCGGATGGTGAGGACGGGGTGGCGGGGAGGGGAGGAAGGGGGTCAAGTTCCGTGCCGGATAGCCGTTACGGCAAAGACAGAATTACGATGTCTCAAGACGAGGGATGCGTCTCTTCCCCTCCCCCTGCTCTTTCTACCCCGCCGTTCTCGCTCGCAGTCCCGAGCGGATCGTCACGGAGAGAGTTTCTTGGCTTTTCAGTAATTTTCTATGATTTTCGGATCGCATGATCGGCGCCAATAACGCGCATGTCTATTCCCGCGGCCTCTTCGGAAGCGGCCTAATCGAATGCGTTCGATCGCCCCGTGAAAGTCGGTGAATCTGAAGAAGAACGGCCGTGGTGGTAATGACGGAGAGGCGAATCGTTTCGGGAATTTAATTTTGCCGGGGAACAAGCCGTGTCCTCTTGGAAAATTTAACGTTCCTCAAAATTGTTGGAATAAATCGGAAAGAGAGAGAGAGAGAGAGAGAGAGAGGACAATGAAAACTATTAGAAATTGCAGTATCCTGGCAATTGGCAGAAAGGGATTGGCGAAATAACGTTCAGAAGAATGATTACAACGATAACGAGGTCGATCCAGAGAATGAAAAGCTCTCTTTCCGTCTTGCGTTCGGAGGGAATGCGCGCTCCTCGATATCCTATAATTTTCCACTCCGCGAGAGTAATCGAATCGCGTGGGTGCATTACGCGCGCGAACGGCCAGCGTCAGAGCGCGGCCACCGGTCCGCGGTCGCAAATGACATGTCAAAACTGCACAACCGGTACAAAGAGTCGTTACAGGGCAAGGAAGGTGGAAGACGACGCGTCGCGACGGTGCACATACTCCACGGCATGCACACGGTTCTTCTTTACTCTCTCTCTCTCTCTCTCTCTCTTGCTCTCTCACTTTTCTCTGCGTTCCTCTCACGTCTTTCGTACTACGCCGCTTCGCCGTGACCTACCCCAAACAAACCACGAGAAAAAGAGGGAAGAGGAGCGCACGGCGGTGCGGCCACGCGGGGGCGGCCAGAGACGCAGGGAGGAGGGCAGAAGGAGAGAAAGAGGAAGGAGAAAAGGTGGATAGGGGGAGGGCGGTGGGGAAAGGGGCACACAGAGAAGGACGGGAAGAGACGAGGATAGAGGAAGAGAGTGCATTCGCGCCCACACACGCCCGAGAAGTTGCAACACGCGGATGACAAGGAGGAGAGTCGCGCCGAGAGAAGGAAGAGCGCGAGAGAAGAACTCCAGATTGAGGGAGAGGCGGTTAAGGGGGAGAAGGGGGGACGAGAAAGAGAGAAGCCGGAGAGGGTACGCGGAACGGAGTTTATTCTTCGTGCCTTTTTTTATCGTTCGTTGACTCCGCGCTGCTCTGCAGCCGCGGCGAGAGCGGCACGTTGTGCTCCACGATAAGATTGCACTCGCAGGGGCGGTCGACGCGGAGAAAGAGAACGGAGGGAGAGGGAAAGAAAGAGAGTGAGAAAGAGAAAGAGAAAGAAGGAGAAAGAACCTTGTTCCACGACAGAGCGAAATCCGCCCGCGCACGCTATG